ATGTGGTGTCATATCAGTTGCTTAAGGTCCAGGAGATGAGGATTCAGACCCTTACACATACATATTCTCTCTCTCTCTCTCTCTCTCTCTCTCTCACACACACACACACACACACACACACACACACACACACACACACACCATCCGTGGCAAAAAGTATTTTGATGGTCATGAGTTTAGGAATTGCAGGAGGGTTGGACTTGCTGAACTGATCTCTGGAGACCCCCAGTTCCTAAAAACCATCTGACCCCCCCTTTCAGGGAAATTCCTTACTGCTGGGCTTTCTAGTCCCATCAAGGGGGAGCTGAATCTTTCCCAGGAAGTGAGGCAAGGTGGGGATGAGGATGAGACCCACTTCTCTGAAGGGAGCATCTGTTTGGCCTGATGCAAATCTCAGAGCTCCTCCCTGAGGCAATTTCACCAGATGTTAGCAGCCTAGTCCTGTTCCCGGAAAACAGTCTTAGCTTCTTCTAACTAATTACAAAGAATTTAATATTGAAACACACCCTTTTCTATCCCCCTTGGATTTAAAGCAAACCACGACTGAGGTCCACTAAGTCCTGGTGTCGTTTCGCAGTGGTTGTGCCCTAGGCTGCTCCCTTCGGTTAGCAAACCTACCAGCTGCTCTTTGGGAGAAAGATGTGGCAGTCCACACACAGCAGCTGAAGACTGGACAACACGGGTTTTATGAGGTTCAAGTCAGTAGACAACAGCTCCCTGACAATTCTCAGTCCAAGCAAGTGATTAATGTTTTAAAAGGATCAAAAGGTTACTTGGAGCTGATTATTCAAACTTCCCTATGCAAACCTCAAAAAAGTGGGCTGAGAAGAGAAGGAGCTAGTTTCATTGTTTGGTTTCAGAGGATTTTAAAGCCATACCTTGAAACGACAGATTGGCAAATACTGCATCTGGATGCTTCTACTGGAAATTACAGAAGGGACGTCTGAGCCCTTGGGCACACTGTTAAAGTTATAGGTATTCTCTTTGGGTTTGTATGTTTGTAAAGAAAAGCAAAAAATGAGGTAGTAAAACATAAATGCCTGTTTAAAACATGTGTTTTATTTTCTAAGTTGCAAGAGGATGCGTAAATCAACTGGTTATAGAAAAGGGTTTTAGGTATGAAGGTCCATTTAGGAGCCTCTTTTGAAGTTGGGGTATAATCCTGTCCTTGGGGATAGGAAGATGGAAGTCTGGGACTTGCTCATGGGCTAGGCATTTGTGTAGGTGTAGCTCTCATGCCAAGCTGTCTTCGCATGGAAATACTTCAGATTAAAGGCAGGCCTTCCAATCCTCCAGCTTGCTAAAGTAGAGTTGCATGATAGCAAGGCCTAGGCAAACATTCAGCCTCTGTGGGCTGATTCTATCCCTAAACCTAAAAAAAAAAAAAAGGTGTGGTGTGAGGAACCTCCTACTGTGTCTCATTGGCAGTTCTCTGTTCTCAGCATTATCTCTGAGATACTCAGTTATATTGGAAGCTAGATTATGACGTCAGAAATGATCATTCACAGAGGAGGCAACAAGGGTCTTGGGTATATATTGAGGAGAATTTCTACAGCCTGCCGGTAATGAAGAGGGCAGCTGAGGAGAGATAGCTGCTTTCTAATAATTCTCCTTGGCAGTAGGTGGAAACGTTCTCTACAGGAAGTTTCTCATTCAGTTGACTTCATTTTACTTTCGGAAGAACAAACAAAAACAAAAATATTCCGGGGAAAGACTGCTGAGAAGATAGATCTCCCTCTGGCCAGAAGAGCAGAGAAGACTGTAAATCAAGGAAAAGGTGAAGTAATAAATTATGAGGAAACTTCGGTTCTTCAAGTTTTTAAAGACTATTTATTTTTCCTGAGCCTATATATTTTTTCTTTTTGTTGAGGAAAGTTCTGAAAATAATTTGATAGGTGTTTTTCCATTAACACCAAGGGAAGTGCAGGATTGGGGGGCGTGGGAGGGGGGAGGAGAAAGGTGGGAGGGAGAAAGGGGTCGATTTTGTTTAATTAGTAGAAAAAGCAACATAAAGCAGCCGATTGATGTCAGCCTTTAATTTTTACTGTCCTGAGAGTATAGTGAATTTATTTACCACATAAATGATTTAGTATTTTCTATCTGATTTTTGTTATAATGTTTTATGGAAGGGGGGGGAGTTGACTTCTTAAAGTCTTAGTAGCTTGAAACTTGGCTAAGTAGCTTTGAAATTTTATTGTGAAGGAAAATATTATCATTTTAATGTTAAACAGCTTGCAAGTACTAAAAGGCTTATATGTGATTTGCTTTTTACAGATTTGCCCCCTTCAGGTCTAAAGATTACATTAAGGCTCCTGAGTCTTTTTGGAAAGCCCTTATTAAAAATCAGAAAGTGCTAGAAGTTCAAAGGTGGACATTTCTGGGTGCCAGGATCTTTGTCTGTCCTTTCATGCCATGCAAACAGGTCTAATATTGAGAACTTCTTAAACGTTCAAGAAAAGTTGTGGAAATTCCCGGAGGTGTGTGTGTGTGTGTGTGTGTGTGTGTGTGTGTGTTTTAAGGAGAGAAGCCAAATTCTAAAGTGTGGAGTTGTAAGGATACAAGTGAGGGATATGGGAGCTTCTGAGAAGGGCTGCCTTCACCCTCAGAACTAAGCGGAGCACCTTAATTGCTATTTGCAGTTAATGAGGGGGAAGGGAATGGAGAGGAGCTGGGGTCGGTGAGAGGGCGCTATTTCACACACCCATGGTAAAATCTGTGGCGCAGCGAAAGCCAGGTTTGATAAAGGTCAGGCTTCCCTGATCATCTGAAAGCTCTAAACCACACTAGCCTTCCAGAGAGTAATGAAACCTACCAGCAGGACCGCCTGTCTAGAAGACAAACCTCCCTTGAACGGCTCTCAACTACGCTCGTTCATTTCAGAAAGATAGAGGAACCCGTTGGGCGGATGTCCACATCTGCTGCAATCCTTTCCTAGATGATACTGCCCAGTAATTCAGAGCAGTCTTTCTTCCCCGCCCCGCAGCATTGGAGAGAGTCTCTCGCTTTCTCCTCGCCTTTCCAAGGCTGAGCAGCATACAGCGACTGTTCCGCCGCATCTGCGGACAGAAGCGGCCTTGGGGTGCACAGCCGTCCTATAATATGTAACAGGGGGCTAAGGGGGGGGGGCGAGGAGGCGACAGGGGAGGAGATCCGGAGAAAGGGTGGGCTAGGCTCTGGCCGCTAGCAGAAAGGGCAGTTTGCGCGCCCCAGGAGCGCTGGCCCCCTGATCTTTTCCGACGAGGGTCTCTCTCTCTCCATCATCTGCTCGGGTCTTCCTGAAGGGGCTGCAGATGTCCCCAGCTGTCCCTCGACAGCAAGACGTCCTCTCTGGATCTGAAGTCTCAACCCCGTCCCGGCTCCTCGGAGCGAAAGCTCTTCTGGCCAAAGCTCTCCTCGGGGCTCATCCGGAGGAAGAGTCAGGCAGGGGGTTCCCATCACACGCCCCGCTCTCCTCAGCGGGTTTCGGGGTCCCGAAAGCCACAGGCCCATGCAGGCTCGCGCCCTCTAGGCCGGGACTCCCCGGAGCCCGCGCGCCCCGGCCCTAGCTCCGTGACCTCCTCCTGGCCCGCCCGCCCCCCGCCGGCCGGGGCGCTGCGGCGCGAGCGGGCTCCTGGGCTGCGCAGGGCTCTCCGCACGTCCTCTGGGATCCCGACTCCCCGGATTCGCTGCGTGGCCCAGGGCCAGCTGCGCTGGGAGGGAGCGAGCGGATCCGCCCTCGCCCC